TTCTGTTTGATCAAGTTTCAAATCTGTGATAATAAGTAAATCTAACAGCACATGAAAGTGGCATGTTAAAACATAGAGATATGACATTAATTTTTATAATGTAAATTTAATTTTAAATCGGATATGTTTCCGGACTGAAATTGGCATCTTAAACGTTGGTATAACACTGTAAAGTCAAATGAACATCTTTTTAAAGATGTAAATCAGTATTTCCTTAGAAGAATAGGTTTTATTGCTATTCTATATTTTTCTATAGACAATCTGATTGTCACTATTGTTGAAAACGATTTCAAAACTGCAAAATGTGATCTCGACGTATCGATGATTCCCAAATAGTACTCTACTGCAGTGCTCTACAGTATCTCTTATATGTATGCCAAATCTAATAAATGAGTTTAACAATTGCATTATCCAGTTTATCGTCAATGTAACATTATTGAATTTTTTTCACGCTGTTTCCGAGATTCTGGCAAATGTGTTATTTTATGAGCATTGGGAATCATTGCGATAAATTCTTTTGTCACAACGAGTGTGTGTACATTTAATGTATTTTATAAAGCACTAGAAGAAAGAAGCAAGATAATATTATTTTCAGACCTTTCATATATAGCATAGATTATATGTATATGACCTTAACTGCTTATGTGATACAAATCATCTGTATGTGTGTAATATATTCATAGGAAGCAGAAGAAGAGTAACGCATGTGGGTGTTAATAAATGTTATATACAACAAGCAGTTGTAAAATACATTTATTCGTTAGTGTTGTAGAAAATTTCATTTTGTCTTTCATTCCTTACTCAGAATTAAAAATTTCAAAATTTATGATCTACATAGATTTTCCAATTTCTAAATTAATAAAGGTGTGTATTATTAATGTAAGCTTAAAAATAATTAAAATCATTAGCCGCTTCTTTCGCCAGTGCAATAATTTTATTTAATATTATGTACCTGTTTTTCATCTTTCAATAAATTTGATTCAACATATGTGTATAAAATATACTGAAATTGATAGTTGATTTATGCTAGAAATTGGGAAGGACAAATAAACCACATTACAAAGTATATTTGATATTCTACATATGCATTCAAATGTAACCACAATTTGAATATATGTACGTATGTATAAATGCATATGTATTTGCCAATGAATATCATGATGTAAGAGGGACTACTCATTTCACTTGGTAACTGTTGATATTATTGTCTATAAAAAGAACATTAAATGTAAAATTAATCGTAAACTGTTCTACTTCTCTAATTACGTATCGTGCGCGCATTCAATCATTCAATATGACTTTAATAAATCAATTATAAAATAAAACTAGAAAACTATTCGAATTTCTGGAAAAGTTGGTACGTTGCTGAACAAACTCCAAGCGGAAGGGTGTTATTGGAAATGAAAACCACTGACTGAGCCACAGTAATTTTTCTTATCCGCACCGAGAACATCCGTAATTGTCACGTCGCGTTGTCGTAGCGAATGTATTTCTCTTAGGAAACTAAGAGAAGTGTTCAACAGTGGCATATGTGGCTAATTGTTTAGTGAAAACAACATAACACCATCGTCCGTGATGTTTTAATATTTCTTTCCTTAGATCATCCGCTATCTAAGTACTTGCAATCGTAGGTTCCTGCTCGTATGTTAATATCATTAAGTATGAAAATATTTGGGCTCTTAACATTGATAACATATTCCTTAAAATAAGAAGGAAATTGCGTGTTCATGTGACCTATATCTTTGATGACTTTAATCTCATCCGGGGTCGAACTAGTTTAAAAATCTACATTCCTTCTGCCTTAAATTTTTTCATTTATATAAACCATGTATCTATATTTATATATATGTATATATAATATACACGAAAAGTACATGGCATGTGTGTGCGTGCGTGCGTGCGTGCGTGCATACATCTATAGAGGAGTGTCTTCCTAATGAAAAAAATCATTTTCGTTCGAGAATGAATACTATGAAATTACAACAACTGCATGATTGTTGTTTTCGTGAAAGGGCACGGACATAATATTTTTCGTTTAATAGATATAACGAATAAAATTGATCGTATCCTTTATGGAGAGGGTTCGGAATTCGAACGTGAAAACGTTATGAAATGAAGCGTCGAAACGTGACACGAATAAGTCTACCTACCTTTACACTTCGTACATATACATACTGAATCTCAATATTTATAAAAGTCCTACTTACGAAAATATTTTACCGTGCTAAATTTCAACATTTATAAATTTGGTTAATTTAATAGTTAATTTCTATTGTAACGATATTCTATTTTAATTCCGGATTTAATTTTCAGATGACATCTAGTGCACTCGAAGCAAAAATCAATAAAATTAGGCAACAAAATGAAGAAATTAGAAGAAGACATCAAGCGAGTATCTTTAATATAAGTAAATAAAAAATGTGCAAATTACTGAAACTTTTTTTCATTGTCAGGAGGTGGAGGAAGATAAAAAGAACGCAGCGAAACTCAATGCTTTAGTTCAAATGGTACCATCATCCGATTGGCCAGAGAGGAAGGAACCACCTGAATTTTCAAATCCACCGAAAGCTAAGCAAAAGTCAGCCAAGGAAAAGCATGAATACACAATGCAAGCTCACCCTTCTGAGGGAAAAAAAATACATTCATTTGCTCATGTATGTTATGTGATTTTATGTATATCTTCAATGAAACCAAACATTCCTTTGCCTACATGAAACTTTTAATTACACAATTCTCAATGCAATCTTTTGCAGGGAGAAGGTCCACCACCTGACCCTAAATACAATTTCCTGGCAGACTCAGAGCGAGAAGAACCTAGTTCAGAATATGCAAAGGAGTCTTCTGGAAATAAGCTCCATAATAAAGTAATGCGGGGAAACTTCAAAAAGAAAACAGGGGGAAGGGAAAATCATATGCAAAAGGTATATAATAACATACTTTGATATTTTCTCCTGTTCCAAATAATTAACAGTGTTATTTTGTATAGGATAATAAAGTATATAAAGGAAATTATAGAGATGAATCTCAGCCAGGGTATGACGCTTGGAGAGCAGAAAGAAACCGTATCGATGAAGACCGCATTAGCAGGCAGAGGACTGCCGAAGGAAATTGGCGGAGGGAGTGGGATAATGATAAAGTATGATTATTCTTAACACTGACAAGATATATCTACATTGTGTTTAATACTTATACATAATAAAAATAGCTGTTGTGTTATCAGCTGGAAGAATGTTAAGAGTAAAGTGATTTCTACCACTGGATAACGAGATCTTTAAATTACAGATGCATATTATAGACGATGTAGCAAAGAAAACGACGAGGTCTACATTAGGCGATTTTGCAAAGAAAGATCATAAAGATTCTGACAGAAGATATCATTCAAATAGTATGTTAAGTTGCCACTAAATGAGTTTTGTATTTTATAAATAGTGGTATTAAGTTGTATTCTTTTTAGATAATGAATATATCGCTCACAGTAGAGGTGGAATCCGTCCTCATCGTGGTTCTTCAAAGAATTTCTATGGTAATTACGACAATCGGTCTCACAACGTGTATGATCAGCATAGAAACAATACAACAATGCCAGTGAAGCCACCTTTGTCCCCAACATCTGAAGAGAGGACTGTAATTGCTACTGATAACAGTATCAAAGTCACAGTCAACCAGGGCAATACACCATCTAAGGGCCCAGTAATGAGTGTCAAAGGTACTTCGCAATGCTTACATCTTATTTATTGTAACACTATAACACTGTACACAACGGTGTATTTTTTTATAGCATCATAAACACTCGGACAGTGTAACGATCATTACCAATAGTGATCAAAATTTTGATTAATTTATTTTAGTGAATTCACCAAGCATAGCTGGAACAGGAAGAGTCGGTCCACGACAAAGAACTCGAGTGACTTACAGTCATTCAGATGCAGAAGTACCCATCTCCGAAAGTGAGTCTTTCCATCGTCAAAAATCATTTGAGGATAAGTCGAAAGGAACTTACTTCAATAATCCAAAATCTCCCAATGTAAAGAGATCGCACTCCCAAAAAAAGAAAGAGGGTGAAGTGAAATACCCATATCAGAGGAAAGAGATCTGGAGAGAGGACAGCGATACAAATTCTCTAAGGTATCAAGAAAACGAGTTTAGAACTTATATACCAAGAAATATACATAAGTCTCAACCCACTAAATCTCCGAAGTCTACTAGAAGAGATATCAAACTGGTGCAACAAAATTTAAATGCAGACACCCCTTCGAAAAATCAAACGCAAGAATATTCGAATATTGATTCGACGAAACATGAACGTGAAGATGTTGTAACAGAGAACAATGAGACGTTAGAAGAATGTAAATCTGAATTACCTGGTCAAGTGGAATCAGCTAATGGGGAATTTAATGATAAATATGAAGGTAGCAATAATGTATTTGAGATGGAAATGGAAGAGGTGTCAATAATCTTACCGAAAAGTCCTAAGCGATTATCAGGTGTCGAGAATCTTGAACAAATTACCAAAGATGTGAAGGATATAATCAATCCTGACAAAAACGAGCGCCTTGAAAATGTAGATCATATCGAATTATGCACTGGGAATGATACAACCGCTAATTTGCAAAAAAGTATGTCTTCCGAAGCACTCGCTACTGATATTGTGGAATCAGAACCAAATGAACCAGAAGCTAACGTGAAGACAGTACCATATGAATCAGAAAGTAATATAGAATCAGTATCAGCTGAATATTTACCGAACATAAAACCTGCATCAATTGAATCAGCGTCAATTGAACCAGCAACGGTTGAGTTAGTGTTAACTGAATCAGTTCCTAAACAGGAACCAGATTTAACTGAATCAATACCCAAAGTGGAACCAGATTTAACTGAATCAACACCCAAAGTGGAACCAGTTCTAGCTAAATTAGTAGCCAAAGTAGAATCTATTCCAACAAAATCAATACCTAATGTGGAACCAATTCCTGCTGAATTAGTACCTAAAGTGGAATCAGTTCCAACAGAATCAACACCTAATGTGGAACCAGTTTCTCCTAAATTGATATCTGAAGTAGTACCAGTTTCAACTGAATCAGTATCTAAAGTAGAATCAGTTACAGCTGAATTAGTACCTAAAATGGAACAATTTTGTGCTGATTCAGCAGCAAAAGTAGAATCAGATTCTGTTGAATTACTTCCTAAAGTGGAACCAGATTCTGTTGAATTACTTCCTAAAGTGGAACCAGATTCTACTGAACTACTTCCTAAAATGGAACCAGATTCTACCGAACTACTTCCTAAAGTGGAATCAGATTCTATTAAGTTACTTCCTAAAGTGGAACCAGATTCTGTCGAATTACGTTCTAAACTGGAACCAGATTCTGTTGAATTACTTTCCAAAGTGGAACCAGTTCTTGCTGAATTAATACATAAATTGGAACAGGTTCCAACTGAATCAGTATCTAAAGTGGAACCAGTTCCAACTGAATCAGTACCTAAACTAGAACAGATTCCAGTTGTATCGGTACCAAAAGTGGAGCCAGTTCCTGTCGAATCAGTACCAGAAGTGGAATCAGTTCCTGCTGGATCAATACCTAAAGTGGAACCAGTGCTTGCCGAATCAGTACCTAAAGTGGAAACAATTCCTACTGAATCAACACTTAAAATAGAACCAGTTCTAGCTGAATCAGTAGCTAACATGGTGTCAGTTGAAAATGAAAGCAATAATGCGTCCAATGCTTCCGCCACGGTAGAAGCTTCGTGCAAAAATGATCAGCAACCACACGGGCAAATTAGTGAACAGTTTGTAAAGGATGACTGTGATAATGTCAAAGATGAAATTGCTAAACAGTCAAGAACACCATCGATGAAAGACGAATTCGTGTCTTCGTTGGAGGCTGAAGCACATTCTGTGATAAACACTGAAAATCAATTAGTCTGCAGCGACAAGTCAGTTGAAAAACAAACATTACTTGTAGACGAGAAAGTAGGTAAAAAGGTAGACGAAAACAATGAATGCTCTGATAAGAAATTGCACGAAATGAATTTGGAAAATACTCATAACGTTTCGACGGTTAAGAATAAGAAGGTCGAGGCGATACAGGAAGCTAGGGTAGAGCTGTAACATTTTGCAATAAGAACTGTATCAATTAGGTATAATGCAATCGAACGGATACTACATCGATTTTTGATATTAGAAACATTTTCAATGCTCGCTTCTATTATAAATGGTCCTTCAACGTAGAATCAGAAAAAGTTTTTATAGCAACGAAAATAAGCGTCGTTACATGAATTTCTAAGTAGTAGGAATCAGACTATCATTATCTTTGGATTACTGTCGTTAGAGTACTATTTTTAAGGCTGCGAAACGAAGTTTCTGGACTGCGAAAATTTATGGAATCCGAATGAAAATAATTTCGAAAAACATGATAAAATATTAACATCTCAATCTTCAAACTGGTATAAACTTTCGCACTCTGGAGGTAACATTTATCTTGTTATTTTCTGAGTCTCTATGGCAGCTTGAAATATACAGGGTGAGCCGCGAGAAGCGCTTGTTTTCTTGGTAACATACTTCTGAAGAGTTGCTTTCGGAATCACCGTTAATCAAGTGATACTAACGGCGCACAATCATTTTGAAGTTGTTTGATTAATCCTTTGCGGTATCAGTTTGTTTTTCTTCGATCTGAGCAAGAGGAAACATTTTTATTAAAATACATAATAAACTTATGTAGAAAGTATATTAACGAATAATATTGTTTTCGTTGTAAAGGATTTAATGTTTGTTTTGTTTATTGGTAATAATGCAAAAGACTGCAAAGGATTAGCGCACTGGAAACAAAGGTCAAGGATTATAGTGCTTTTACATACCTTAATTAGAGAACAGCAATGCTATAACTCGTATTTCTGATATTTAATATGAAATTCTATGACAATAGAGTACTGACATCTGTTCAAGTCGCACTCGAATGATATTTTTATAATTGGCAATAGCTATTTAGCTATACATTAGACATTGATATATGTGTATATCTTTTAAGTACCTTGAAAAACGAAACGAACGGTGTACCTTGGACTGTTGTTTCCGAAAACAATGATATAATATTAGAAATATTATGAAGTTTAAGGTGGTACACTATATTTATTTGATCTTGGTCGAGGAGCAATGTTATGTCACTTTATAGTTTATATATACATATATATATTTATTTAGATCCTTTTGCTAAAAGATTATTTATTGTTCGTTTCCTTTTTTAATTATATGATATTTTTGTTAACTTCTTTCTTTATGTTTTATTTTTTATTTACCGCAGAAGGTAACGTTTGGCTGATGCGTACGAAAAACTGCACCGCTACAGAATGACTTAGTTTATAAATTATGAATCTGCTTCTCTACATAATCGAACGTGGAAATGTGAACAATTATTAATGTGGCAGAAATTTCAGCTAAAGTAAATCGATATTCATATCAACGGATCAGTGAATACTATAAGTTTCTTTAATGAGATTAAATTCAAGTTGATATCGGAACAATGTTGTAATTTCCTATTGATAACAGAAGTTTGTTGACCGAGTGTCATCAAGGTCTGTTTTTATACCGACTGGCAATATTTCCCATTTTCTTTTCGCATCCAGTGCCATTTTTATATGTAATCCTCGAACTCTTCTTCGCCGGAGTCCTCGATAAGGTCATCATGTTCTGTTACCAAAATTGGTGGTGCATAATCCAAAGCCTCCATCACGTTCGTTATTCTCAGCCACAGTTTTCTATTTTTAAGGTTATTCTAATATATGCAGAAAAATAAACAATAAAACTTGTTAATAAACGCACGTTGTCTATTCTTTTACTGTTTTTCTGTTACTTACTTTCACCGTTTCCCTATAACACTGACAAAACTCGTCATACCTATTGAGAGTTAGGTTCAATAGACACAAGTGGCCCCAAATTTCTGGATTCAAATTATCAAGTCTGTTTGCCTCGGACAGGGTTGCTTCAGCTTCTGTATACTCCCCAAGCTAAAATAAAATGTCTTTTTATTAATGAATTCATTAATTAATTAATTTATTAAAATACATCTCTGACCTCATAGCAACTTATACCAGCACCCAGCCAAGTTTGAGAAGTTGGCGACGATTTGCAGGCACTTAAAAATACACTTTTGGCACGTTCATAATCCCCAGTATTGTAATAATGGTATCCCAATCTGATTTGCACTAAAAGCAATTTTTTGGGCCTGTTGAACAACATGTGTGCAAATTCATAGCATTCTATAGCTTTCTTGTAGTCGCCTATTCTCAAATAGCAATGACCCATTAAACTACCGATTGTATAATCCTATAAAAAGCCAGCATTATGTTAATAAATTTATCCTGTATACCCAATGTTAATTTCAGGAGAAGAATATTAATAACGCACACCATTCCATAGTTACATTTAGCTTCTTCTAAATGAGTAAGTCCGTCTTCGAATCGATTGGACAGATAGTGTTGCACTGCCATGTAATACAATATGTGTGTTGATCGATTAGACTGGGCCATTTCTTGGGCCAGAGCAATTCCTGCAAGCTGGTGATGCTTAGTTTTTAAACTGATTCAACGAGGGATAAATTTAAGTTGCATAGGTCATTTAAGACTTAATGTATTTCACCTCGCAAAGATGCAGTTTCAGTAAAAATATAGCCGTCTTCATGTATAAGTTATCATCAGGACAGTGCGATGTCGACCAAGCTAATGGTTCATTAGGGAGCTTTATCGGTTGTAGCTTATCCTTCATACATTTTTCTGCCACTCTGAGTGCCAGATCTATTCCTGCATAAAATTAAGTAGATTAGTTCCTTCGTTATTTTATCAGGTTCATTAACTGTTGATTTACCTGGATAATATTCAGTTCGTATGTAGCAAAGATGTAAAATGACCCAGCCCTTATAAAATCGCGGATGAAAATCAGTAATGGCTCTTAAAAAGGTTTCTGCTTCCCTGTAGTTACCGTTTTCAAACAATATTGCCCCGTACAGCAATAATCTAAAGACATTGATTTAAATTTTAATTATTTATTAAGTTACGATTAGTCTGAGAGATACTTACGCAAATACGTATCGTCTGTCCAAGGAAATTGCTTCCAAACAACAATGCTTTGCACGTTCAATATCGCCAATTTTTTTAAGATAAACTGCATATCTTGTCCATGATACCGGGTTAGTTTTGGACAATGATATTTCCTGAAAACGTAAAACATCATGATAATTCTTTTCTTGTTTGAATCTTAAATAATACAATTTAACCGTTTTATAATAACGTCTTGCTCTATCCAAGTCACCGAGCTCGTAAGCTTCTTCACCGTATAAGTTTAAATCTTCTGCGTCTAGATTTTCTGATAAATCTTCTGTGAATCTACCCTCGACAACTGTATTAATTGCTGCATGCATTTGCTCCACAAGGTACGTGTACACCGACACAATGAAGTTCTACAAATTTTAGTAATTATAAATTAATTTGTGATCCACTTTTATTGTACCATATTTCTCTTGTCTCTTCAAATGTTAGCACCTGAGTTTTATGGTCGTAGAGCAGGTTCGGTGGCATCTTGAATTTCTGATCCAACAACATGGTAACTTTTGATCTGAGTGTATTACGCAGTGATAAATATACACCGGTTTTGTAAAGGTATTGAGTGAAACATGTAAGTTCATCCTGGAACGATGAACCAATTTCATTCTAATGTGAAGTACAGGGCGATTTGAGAAACATCTTTAAACTTATAATTACTGATTGGGGGTCATAGCAATATTTTTTCTTCTGATTTTCTTCCCGAACTGATTCGATAATTGTGAAGGGTTGGCCATTGCTCTTATTTTTATCACAGAAATCCTAGCTTGATCACGAATTTATTACACTTTAATAGCTGAACCGCAACAAAGTATACCATCTTAATCAATCCACTCAATTATATTTCTGACCGTCCGTTATTTTAAAAAGAAAATGTTAGATATGTCAAATGGAAGAATGTCTGTGGTCAGACGAGTGGAATAAAGTTTGCTTATATGTAGTTGGATGAGTGGAGGATGGAACTTTCTATGATCGGACGAGTAAAATAAGGTGTCACTCTATAATTGGTCATGATCAGACAAGTTGAATAAGGCATTGCTTATGACCAAACAAGTAGAAAGAATAGGTAAGTACGTATATTCGGACAAGTGGTGATGATTAGCCTGTGGAATATGATTATCCTGCGACTGGATCGGTAGAAAGGGAACGATCTATGATCAGACAAGTAAAGTAACGGTACATAGTACAACGACTACTTTAGAACATAATTACATAGATTAATTAACAGCAGACACTTCAAAAGGTCGATTAATATCATACCCGATAACTTTCTGTAATAACTTCGACCAACTTTTGGATGCATTTCATGTACTGTTTCTCTGCTACGTCACCAGAGTAGACGTACGGTTTTCTTTCCATCTCTTTTGGAATCATCTCTTTGATTCTAAAAGAAGACATTGTTCTTTTCTTTCCTCGAATTACTGCCACCTATTCATTTAATAGAAAAACAAATTCTCTCTGAATTACAAGTTTGAAAAATCCGATAGAAGGCTGCAGGCAATTAGTGGCTGATAAAGCTCCACTTCGATCACGACAACAGTTGGTTGGTCTTTTAACGATGTTAATGGTGCGGATGAAAGTACTTCTGGCTCAGAATTCGCTGATTCCGAGTGCTACGACCAAAATATTTGTTTACGACAGTTGTAACATAGAAATAAAATTGTTGGCCAATATACCTTCGAAGTTTTCTGCTTCTTTTCCCTGTCTTTTGAATCTTTGCCCCTCGTATCCAAAACAAAAATATTGTCTTCAATGCCGAAATTTTCTGTTATGTCTGCTGCGTTGTACGCGTACAACTGTCCAACAACTCTACAACTTTTCCCTGTGAAAATAAATCAATATTTCTCTCGTAAACGTACCACCAGTTAATGCGGTATGTTGGAAACTAGTTGGAAACAGGTAACTTACTTCCAGGGAACAGAAGTTCTGAAAGATCAACATAGCACTGATACAATGTGGTTGTCTTCGTAGAGCTGCCTTTAGATTTTATTGGAACATCTGCACCAGTTACCAAGAACTGGAAGGGCCAGCGTTTGTACCTTCAGAAAAATAGGAATTACGATTTTGTAGTAAGACCCGCGGCATTACTTTTAACAGCCGATTCAACTTCACTTTCTAATATGATACTCCATCGCTTCGATTCCCGTTTGCCACAGCACACATCTGTGAACGGAATTCCACTCGAGCCGAGACATATCTTCACACATCTTTTCCTGGAATAATAAACCAACAAATCAGCAAACAAATCAGTGTTACGTTAATTTCAACAGCAATACCGCTAAGTTAATGTGTTTTTTAAACGGATTCTTCACTCCTAAGAAATCACATTCCAGCCTGTACTTCGATAATCGAGCACGATTCGCCAGATTTCCCAAAGTGTTCCAACGCTTTGTTCTTTCAACGTCTCGGTATTTCGTCCATGCTCCATATTCGAATATTACATTTTCTGGGACCTGAAAAAATTCTGTTCTTTGCAAAATGTCTGCAACGCTTAATCACAAGACTTTAATTACCTCTGAGTCGATGTACGCTATGGTCCCAGCTTTATATTCCAAATTATCCGTGAAAGATTCCGGAAGATTGTATATACTTTCCACGGTAATGTTAAGAAAATTCAGAGTCTCATTCGTTTGGAATAAGAATTCATAATTCGGTGACACCGTTACAGTTAGTAGCGGAAGATTCTGCCAAGGTACTAATGATTCATCATAGGAAAACGTGGGTGTCTCTAGAAGACACTTCTCGGTATAACATTTTTCGCCTGGATGTAGTTAACAATATTTTCTTAGAAAGAAATGTTTAAAAGGTAAGCGAATTAAAGACTCGAATACCTAATATCAGGGGCATTAAGTCAAGATTACAAATGCCTCGCATTTGCAATGTGGAGGAATCTGTGGACGCTGTGGTGAATATACTTCGTTCCTTTCTTTCATGATCCGAAGCTTCTTTGGGTTCTTCATTGAGCACTGCCTTCCAAAAAGCTTTTACTATATATAAGATAAATAGAAAAACAAACAGAAATGTATATAAATGTTTAACAACAATTAATGCAATAGTATTGGCTTCGAATTAAAGGACATTAATTATTACTTAATATGGGCGTCGAAACGATTGTATCGACGGTCTTCCTATCGTGTTCAGGAATTGACAAGTAGGTAGTGAAATTGATCTTGTGAATCGATTCCTGTTCATCGCAAGTTGATTTTACAATTATTGGTGGACTTTCTTCTAGGACGATTCCACAGTGCTCCACCAAAAATGTTATCTGTGTATCTTCTTTCCGAATCTAGATTTATTTATTTATTATTAATCGTTTGATTGTACAAATAGCAATTGTAACTAAATCGCGTATCTTTCATCCGCAGTTTAATATTTATAGCACGTACAATATTCTCAATGGTATTCAAAGTTATCAGAATTCTCTTCTCTTCTACCGAGCTCATTCTCTGCAATTCCATTTTATCATAATAATAACGTTAAATAGAGAGAGGTTATTTCGAGTAGTGTCAAAACGTCACCTAGACATTTCTATTGTTTAAAACAAAATTAAAAGTGTGGTTGCATTCACAGAGTTCATTACTTATTTACAAATTATTAATAATAAATATGGAGACCTCATTTGTAAATTATAGACATATGATATACATATATTTTCTTCAATAAATTAGTGTACACGTATGTGTGACGCATTTATAATTAATCTCGTAATGTATATAAATACAAACATTGTAAATAATTTATTGCACCGGAGGATGTTGGGTCGAATCGCATCCATTCTGAGCAAGTCCTACATGCCGTCTCTCTTTTGTACATATACAGTTTCTCACGTATTTACATTGGAATCTATATCAATTTTTCGGTTCAGTAAAATCAGAAGAGCAGAAGCATACAGATATAATTACTAAACTGCAGTTCTTTATGCATTCACATTAAAGACCAATTACTAGTCGCTCGAAAATGTGAACTTTTATTTAGTATAATATTTGGAAATGAAAATTTTCATGATAAAATTATTTCTCAAAGATCCACAGTCTACCAATTAGTCTACTCGCGCTAACAAGTATAAAATTCGAATGCAATGATCAAAATCCTTATTCTAGGATTTCATATTTTTACATCATGCAACAACTTGTAACCTCGTCGAAACGGAATCATTACCATCAGCAATGTGTTCCTTTCTTTAAGGAAACGTAACTACAATTTCCTTCCTGCGACTCCTTATAGGAAGAGTCGGTGAAGAAAACTCATTGTTCACTCATGAACACTCTGAATCACTCTTAAAATTTCTTTTCCATATAATTTATCAAGTTAATTTCAATCAACAATAAAAAATGAAAATGTGTACTGTGTTTGAGCACTATGCGAGCTAAGCCCTCGCAGTTAAACCGTGACAACGGTCTGTAGGAAATCATTTATATAATTGTCTGAGCATCATAATGTCTTCATAAATCATAGGCGTCATGCTCTGTCTCTCTAATATGTTCGCAGATTTTTCAACGATAATAAAATCTTTTATGATCAAGGCACTAAAGTCGCAGCTACCAGCGGATCGCGTTGACAATCAGTTCAACATTTTAGCTACCGAAAGCCTATCGGCGTTTTAATGACTGTGATTCAATAATTTCTTTTCTAAATCTTAATATCAGAAGCAGTTGTTACATTGTGTATTTTCTTGCAGTTCCTTTTGTATAGCCTTATAACAATTTTTTAATTTTTGATTTAGGCATTCGCCGGTAGATAAAGTGTTAATTAAAAATGAAGAAACAAATGACGGACGACACAAGCGAATGACAACATTAAATTTTAACAAAACTGTCGTTTCTAATTTCACTAATTGCGCTACATTCTCGGAGCAATGTTTATGCGAAAACTATGATTTTCGCCGTGACAATTCTTTCCGCTAGGATTAATGAACAAAGAGAGATCGTGGTCGACGATTACGAAAAGGGAAACTGGTACAAATCTACGATCTGTAAACATGCGTTACTCGTTTCGGTATAAAAAGGAAATGTACGAGGGTACATCGGAGTATCAAAAACCTGTTACTGAAAGAAATCAGTCGACTAGGGGGCGGAATCGTGTTTTCTCGTCTCTTCCACGCGAAGAAGAACTATTCCATCGCGGAAATAATGTTCTTCCACCATCATTATCCGCAGAACGCAGTCTTTTTTTTGGATCGACGAGGCCCAGGTGACAAGATGATAATCTGGACCAGCGATATTGCTACATCGATTATCTGCAGCCCGAACGGTCACTTCATTAAAGGGTCTTCAAGGTTTTGTCGATGTGTCTCATGGTCGTGTCTGGTACCGCTTCCGTTAGAGCTTTGTGGAAACCGTCACAACGCATCAGTCGTCGAAACATTCTCTTTGCGTGATTCCTGAAGAAATATGGTTCAAAATGAAATTGTTGGATGTTGATAATGAAATTGTTTAGGCTAGAAAGAAATGATATTTTCTACCTAGCATCCAAGTTACCGTCCGTCAATAATTTAGCACCAGTGCTTAATAGTTTGTCTCTAACGTCTCTTGGCAATATCATCGTGTGTTCTGGTCCTATCCGCTCAACTATGGAAGTCAATAATCGAGCCGTGGCTGCCCTCACGACAGCGTTTTGATGACTTCAAGAAAAATCAAGATAAAATCATGCGACCTCAAGCTTTAATATTAGATCACGCGATTAAGAATTTTAAACACATTAAAACTTATTTATTATTATAAATGTAGAGGACAGGTGGATTATTGTCGCTTTTTGTATAAAACACAATGTGAAAACTGACAAGAATCTCAATTTCGAGATCTATTTAGAATCTAGGCTATTTACCCAGCACCGCGCAAAACTATAACTGCGATAGTTTTATGAGGAGGCATGTGTTCGATCATCCGATCCAAAGCTGTATTGCAATCCGCTCGTAGAAACCGATTAGTATCGGCTGTTCTATGGAGTAAAGGTGCAGCTATGTCCTCGAAGTCCTGCAAAAACGCAATATGCAAGGTATAGAATATATAGAAAGTATACGAATCTGACAAATTTAACGACGTTCATGATGTATTACTTGATCTATTCCACGAATCCGCGAGCTAAAAATGTCACCCGCAGCTATGCAAGCAGATCGGGCAACCTGCGATCGAAGGCTTTTTATTTGTTGACCCAGAAGTCGATTTATCGTTGGTGTAGCATGGACTTCCAAGAACTCTGGCTGGTTCTTCGTTAAGTGAGACAGAGTCTTTAACCCTTTCATAACAGTCTCCCTGAAAACCGATTAGAAATTAGCTACAGAATTTTTTCTTTCCTGTTTCCATTCTTCAGAGTGGTTCACCTAAGTGTGCCACTTAATTATTTGTCTTATTCAAGAGAAGAAACCTTTTTCATCTTCTGATCCTTCGTCTCCATGCAAGAGATGATTTCATCTCCATTTTTATTTGACCAGAGTAAGGAAAAAAGTGTGCTTCTTTTGGAAAACAGATCATAGTAAGCACGACTCCATTTATACCATTCTTTGCTCTCCAGGTTGGCGAAGCAGCTCTGCACCGCTGGCTTCAACTTCTCCGTGCTTCTTGCATTGCTTCGGTATCTCTTCGTGGGCCGAGGAACCTTCGATGCTGCTGGTCTTCTGGATCGAGCTGCTGGTTCCAAAGGTTCGGTCTGCGAAAATTGGACGATCTATAGATATTCCAAAATTTTATTCCAGACGTCTTTTGCTATAGAATTCTAATGTTACTTCAATCTTTAAGATCCCAGGTTCAGTATTTGTTTCACTGGAGCTGTCCTTGCTCTGTCCTTCCTCCATAGTGTTGCTCTCGTTGCTCTCGTTACTCTCGTTACAGTCGTTGGCAAGCTACGTAACAGAATAGACGAATAATTAAGTATTTGTTAATTACTGAAATCTCCTTTTAGCTACCTACCCTTTCAGCATTCTCCTCTTCGTCGTTCTCGTCCAACCGAACAACAACCTCTGCAGGATTCTCTGCGAATGTGGAAATCTCGGTCGAGTGAGGTCTAGAAGCGATGATGATCGTTGGCGATTCTCCAGCTTTCGACCCTCTACGAGACTGACTCTGCTCTCCTAATCCTGATGACTCGTCCTCGCACTGCGTTGCAGAGGATACTAGCCTCTCCTCGTTCAGATCCTCAGCTTCCTTTTTATCAAAATCATAACTCTGTGGGAGAGGAGAAATGCTGATTTGAATTTACCAGAAGCCTTTCGTTTGTTATTTTTCAAGCGATGTCATCAAAGGACACTAACCGATTTACAAGAGCTGCTCCTCGAGCTTCGTCCCGGCGACTTCAACGTTTCCACCTCGATGGAGGTTCGACTAGGCGATCTACTTAGCTTCTTAGGGCTGCTGGACGATCTTGTCAACGGCGATGCTTGCATCTCATGAAGTTGACTATCGCTAGAGTGTTGCAAGCTCTCGCTGGTCATCAATCTTTCACCAGACAAAACGGAGATGGTAGACTGTCTTCTGGTACTGGCTCTATCATCTCCTTCATCGGACCCGCTGCTCCCGATACGATTATCCGCTTGTTGTAATTCGAAGTGTCCTGAACTTCTTGAACAAGAACGATCTTCGCGCTTCAATGTCATGTCTTCCTCGCTGCTCCAGCTCTTTGGTGCGTCGTCGTCCACCACGGAAGGACCATTTGTTTCGTCGATTGTTTCTATTCTTTTGTTCAACGCGAGCTGAAATAGGATGTCCAAGTGAAAAATATCCAGGTCGGTCAAAAATGTCTGTAGAATGATGACTCACGATGAAGTTCATGGCATCCCTGTTGGGCAACGTCGACGGTGCATCGATGATATCAAACGCCGCGTCCACATCCGGTCTCTCAGCGCTGGAAGATCTACTCTCGCTATCTTCTTTGTTATCAGCAGCATCCTGATCTGCGCTATCATGTTCATTATTCTCTAAAGCGTCCGACGAGGAGTCTTGATCATCTGTCGCAACAATAATAAAACATTCTTGGCCAATGAATTACATAGAGTATGTTTGGCATTTAAGCCAGACGTCGTATGTCATGATTCAAGGTGATCAGAGCTTTAGATACGCCCTTGGGAGCAGCGACCATCGTATCGGTTACACCCTCTACAAAGTGTAGCACAAGATAGTCTGTACTATATGCAACAGTTGCTACAATAAACAAATATGCTACATCGAAGGTTTACTTTTTAATGTGGAACTGTGTTTTTAATAGTAGCTGCGCGTTCGTGTCCTTCAACTTTGTGATTTCTTATAGTTCCGGCTGAGGAAATATTCATTGGTAAGATCATTTCAATTGAAGCAAGACTTGGATGAATTAATACTAAATGAATTTGGATAAAGAAATAGAAGACACTCACAGGTTCGAAACCGAAACAATAACCAAAGAGACAGAGATATAGTGTAGGCATACAGAAAAAGGAAAGAATTAAATAGAATTATAGGTTCATAGAAAAATAAGTGTAACTTAGTTTAAGTGAGTGCAATTTAACATTAAGTATTACGTAAGTAAAGAAAGAAGGAAAAAGAAAGAAAGAAAAAGAGAAAGAAAGACGAAAGTTGCAAGCCGAAGGCAATCCTAAGCTGAAAGGCGAGGATTATATCAAATAAATGATAACAAATAATACTAAATGAATTCCAAATGTAACTGAAGTCCGTGCAATCAATTTTTAAATACTTATCCTGCTTCGAAGACTAAATGAAGATTTTTCTGACCGACTGTACAAAATTTTATCGGAATTTTCTTGGAAATGAAAGATGATTATTTGAACCTCTGACCAAAGCAATTTTTCTAAGTGACCGAAGCTTCCATGGGACAATTCAGACATCGTTGAAGAACAGAAATCACGATCGAATCCCCTTGAAACACCGGCTCGAGCCCGGCTCGAGCATTCCAGGCAAAATATTGATTGCAAGCCGGTGTTGGGTCTAGGCTCGACACGTTAGCAATCCCCGAGGTGAAGAACCTCGCGCTCTAGTTCGTGTGCTTTCGATCGGTCCGGCCGCAGTCCCACAGAAAGTTTTTCGCTGTTGTTCCACGATCAACAGATCGATCGGACAAAGGTTCCGATCGAATCCTCCGTACAGGAGTGCGCCAAACTTTATATTATATATTATTATAGCTAATGCATTTATGCACTATATATTATTATAGCTAGTGGGTTCTATAGGCCGGCAGCTCGAACAGGTGATGCAAGCCTCATCAGTTGACACTGGCGGAAAACAATAGTTCGCCCTTCAAGAAATCACTGTCGAGGTTGCATCGCGTTCGAGCTGACTTTAAATAGACAAATAGACGAATCCCGTTCTCGCCTTATTATAGTTTGCGGCGAATCGATCTTTTGCGCTTTTAAATGAAAACCACTGCAAGAAAACCAATGAAAGACGGCACTATCATCTGGCATAAACGTTTCATCTAGATTGATTCGGTTCAACAAATATTTAATGCAGATTCAATAATTCGATTTCTAATTTACGGATGCCAATTACGGGAGGAATACAATTTTATTTAAATCTCGGTAGAGTTGTTCATAAAAAGTCTAAGCTTCTGTTTAACAAAAAGGAATAAGATTTACGCGGAAATACCTTCGAACTGTGTTTCGATCGCGTTCAATCGATACCTTTCCTCGGGCAGAAAATGCTTGTTCTTCTCGTTGTACAATTCCTCCTCGTTCACCGCTTTATCTCTGAAACACGATGAACACGGAGTCAAAAAAAAATCAAGAATTACAGCGTAAAACGGTCTGCGTTGTTCCCACAAGCAATTTACACCGTTGCACGGTTGCGATTATTCGTTGCAGTTTTCTATGCATTAAATATGCTACTGACAAATGTCGAGGCCGCGAAGCACCGTAAACGCCGATCATCGTTTGCGAACGGTTTACGACTCGTTTGGAAATTCTGCTCGTTAATTATTTATAAAAAGAAAGGGTGGAACATTGTACGCTTTGAAGATATTGCAATATTTTATAAGAGGACATCGTTGTAAGAACATCGGAAAATTTTCTACGTTGATTTTTGAAAAATTATCAAGATCTAAAATATTCTTGCACGATGTGTAAATGAGACAATGTGCAAAATTCGGAGAATTTCATAACAGCAATTTTACCTCGCCAAAAACTATTATGAACAATTCAAACAGAATTCTTCTTCTGCACTGATCGAATTGTAAGTTACGAGTTACCACTGCAGACTCTCGGTAAATCTGTCTCGAGAAATGAAGAAAAGAGGAAAGGAATATCGTCTTCTATCTACTATACGAATCGGCGAACATACATCGTGTCGTTGCTAGTGTTCAGCGTCAAAGGGATCACGGGCGTGGTGTTGGCAGTGGTAACTATAGTTGAGATCGAGTCCTCTTCCTCCTTCGCTGCGACGTCCACCGACTGTCTGCACCTGAAGGCGCAGGGACAATAGCGGAGAACAGTGTCAGCGATCTTGCACTCCTTGCGCCAGGAGCTTGCCGACTTCCTGTCGAAATTCTGATCCTTCTGATCCCCTTCCTTCAACCCGTTCACCGGCTCTTTGGTCTCTTCCGTCCAATTACAGTACCTGAAGATCATCCTGGCTCATCGATCGTCCACCTTTCTATTTCGACGATATCTCTAGCCGCTGGTTGGAGTCGAATCGATCGATCGAATTGTTATTATTAAAATAATTACGGTTGTTCCGACAAAATAATGGGCGTTAGTTTGAACGGCGGAGGCTTTACGAGGGTGTCGGACACTCGACACCCTGGTCTTCCGAGTAGCAGAATTTCTGGGACAGGTGTCCAGTCTCGGTCGAGTATAATTGATGACTCTCCACTGCCCCAAACGGGGTTCACAGTTCGAAGACAACGACGGTCTCATCGATCCCGATCGAAGGTCCTTGATTTCCGGCGGGTGGCACCGTTTGCGCCGTTTGAAAAGTTCATTCTCGACCTGTCGAGCTTCCGCATTCTTCGCGAGGCACTTTTGTCGTGGCTGGTCGAACGATCTTCTGTCGCCGAATGATCTATGACGGTGATCCTTGGTGATACCACGATTAGTCCATGCGCACACATTGTGCAGGCTTCTTCCAGAGTTTTAAAATCGCTTCTATCATTGCAAATCTATTTTCTATATCGATATCGACAATAATTATTTGTATGTGCAATTTCTTCGAAGGAAGAAAACAATAGTTCTAACTCTACGAATGGTGTAAAAATATAATAAAAGATCAAAAAAATTCTACGAATGAAGGATCTAAAAATACAGTGAAGTTGAAATTTTAACAAACACTGTATGGTTTCGATGGTATTATCGAGCCGAACGGGATTTAGGAATTACCAGCGTTCCAGCTGGGCCACGAGAACAGTGTTCCTCGTGAATTATGCAAACTCTGCCGCAAGGCAAATAGAATACGATAATAAAAGCGGAAAATCGAAAAGAACCATTGCTCGCGTCGCGCGTCTAAATCGTTTCGAACACGATCCAAGCGATCGAATCGATGTCCGCACGAAAAATATATTCAAGTGTATCTCACTCTCGAATCTTAATGTGCTTTGATAATCTTTATGACGAACAGCAGGAAACACGGGTCAATAAATTGTTACGTGTCTAGACGCGTGCAAACGAAACTTTCGGCACCGAACATTTAGGGGTTGTTGTGCGTTCGGCGATCATCTCGGCAAGGTTAACGAATGATCGATTAACAACCTGTTATGAAGATGACTATATGTATATCTCGCTGGCAAAACACTGTAATTTGGCAGGCAGTGTTTATGAACTTGCCAAAGTAATGTTTTCTTTTTCATTCGTTTTTTTATCATTTCATGTATAATAATAATATATCAATATGATTATCCAATATTAGTGCAGAATAAAAAGATATGACAAATTTGTACAAACATTCGCGATCGAACGACAGAAATATGTCCCTCGGAAGTTAGCGGTCTAAAAAAAAGTGGAGGAAGAAAATGTCTTGCCGACTAGTACGCTTGTTGCAACTTCAATAATTGAGAGCTGTACAGATAGACAACGGGGAAGTGCATAAAGTTCCGTGACAAAGGTAACAGTATTTCAGTTTGTAATGCCATAAGTTGCTACCCGCTGACGTGACGGAATTCGATCTATAAAAATGCTACCTAATTTGGCACTATCCGAGTATCTGTAAGCAACAGTTCGATTTCGAAAGTGAAACAAAATGAAGCCAGATGAAGTTGCATGAAAATACAGTTCTGCACAGAAATCATCCTCCAATTCGCGTCTAGTTCTATACAATCACCGACACTCGCAGAATCAATCCCAAAACCATCGATCGATCGTCTTCGATGAAAATCTTCCAGGATTAATTCGCAACAGCAAACATACTCGACGGTTTCCAGTGAACAGACCTGGCAGTTTCTAGCGAACATACTTGCGAAACTGTTAACCACAACTATGCTCGACCGGATAATTAACAGTGCACGAGAGGGCAATTAGAATCTTCATTCGAGCCGACATCCTGAGGGAAAGAAGAACCAGAAGTTCCGGTCGTCTAGCAGCACGAACAACACTGTCACGAGAAGAATCCTTTGCGAAAGAGGTTTATATGGTTTTGCGATCGCAGGGGGGTGGGCGGAGGGGGGCACACAGGGTTCGAAAGTCGCAAGGTACACCAAAAGGGGGCCGAGCGTAATTGGCACGACGCGACGACGCGACAAATGACGACGCACGCACGACTGTGCCCCACGTAGACGTCAGACGTCCCGACGCTGACCGCTGCCCCTACCTTCCAGATAATTCAACCCCCTTCCGCCTCCCTGTGCCCCCCTTTCCCGCCGTTTCACCTGTAACCACGCGATACCGTGCGTCGAATGGCTATACACTGACCGTAGCCGCGACCAACCCCTTCGGACACGAGCGAGGGTAGAAACGTCGGCGTCGGTGTGGTCTACGCGTGTTTCAGGTAAAAATGACCAGGTGATATCGACTGTCCCCACTTTCCTGTCGCGACCATTTTTTTTTCTCTGCTGACACGAACGGGAAATTTCGCGATCTCACCGATTAGAGGTCCTTTTTGGCGTGACCGCAGCTTGAAATAAATACTTATCTTTCGTTTGAAAAAATTTCGTTCGAACCCCTTCTTTATCGTTCAAGATACCTGTGACATATTAGGAGGAGAATTGTTGCTTTTAAACCTGTTCAAAAAGTGTTCTCGTAGAATAAATATTTTAGAATCTGTACGATACGGATAGCAAGTCCCTCGGGGACGAATTTCATGCATAAAAAGAATAAACCCTTGAACTGTGAATTATTTGTGTACAAGTTACGCCTTTAGAATACCAATTTAACTGTCTTAATTATTTAATGCTGTTATAATTAGACGGCGGATTTCACGCATTTATGGCAAAAATGGCTAATTGAGATGTAGAGTAACGAAGACACATCGAAAGAATTTAAGAATCTTATTAGAGTATTTTCAATTTGTTAAAACAATAAAAATAAAAAAGGTACATATCTTTATTTAACTTTATTTAACTGTTTTGTATAATGGATGCAAAGAATTTTTATTTTGCATAAAAACCGGCAGTCTAGTTACAATCAGACCGCGGCTTTTATTATGCATTTATGACAAAAATGAATAAGAAAAATTTCGTAAAATGGCGATACGATTCGAAGAAAAATTAATAATGTTGCTGTCTTGCAACCGATGAAGACAATCTTTATTTTGTATGAAGTAGCCTGATGATAATACTATTTATTGAATAGACGCAGCGATGAATACTTTTTCAAGCAACGATGAACAACAGGTCTTCGTCGAACAGCTAAAGTGTGTCGACCTTTGCGAACACTTGTCAGTTCATCGCAGAAGGTATGATCATGACGTTGAAAATGTAATTACTCCCGAGTGGGGTACCGCATGAATAAACCGTATCACATGATAACAGAAGGCAAACGGCAACGCGTATGAAACATTTATAAAGTCGGAGGAAGGGCGATCGAACTAACGGGTTGAAATTGTTGTGTGGCTAATATTCGTCCGCGTTTATTTAAACTTACGCGATATGTAATTACCGTGCGGCGTGGCTTGTGCCGCCACGCACGCGACGTTCGTAAATCAAGGAAAGAGGAACGGGACCAAGAATGTTCTCGGCGTATCGCTGCTCATTAATACGTCCTGCAAGATCGCTTTTTAAACGGATCCTCGTAAATAATCATGACTATGAAAATCAATTTCTCGCGGCCGTTGAATTTAATCGACCTTCTTTTCCTTCGACAGGAAGAAACGAATGCATCGAGATAAGAATAATCGTGTCAAGGTCGAGACTGTAATTTCAGTGTTCCATGCGGTCCAAACGATAGGCTTCAATGTGCTCCGAATCATTCTTATTAGTCCTGCATCGACATCACTCACGTCGATGTAAACATTTATTCGATTTATCTGAGACGTTTGGAAAATATTGAAATCGTTTTCAAATGCATTGTTTATGTTTAGATTTTGTACTTTATATAAGTATACAAGTATACAACTCTGACCTCTAATCATATTACTTTTTCTTTCACAAAAGTTAGAATTCTCTTATATCGCGTTATTTTTCTGTCCTCCATTGTCCGAAAGTACCCACCTCGTTTCAAGCTGAATGAAACGTGTGACGAGGCCATTAAATATTTAATGAATTGTATTGAAATTAAACTTTCGAATATTGAACCATGGAAATTCAAAATAAAAGTTTGCGGTCTGGCGACATTAAAAGTGAAACATAGATCGGCGAAATAAGTGGTTCAAAAACGAAATTAAATGACTGAGTCAGCATCGTAATTTCACGAAGCCAAAGGGTGACTAAAAGGTCGAAGTGACGCGTCACGACGGAATTCCGTTAAGAAAATCGATCGGACAACTGCACCCTAATTGTTTTGATAAGGTGCAATAAACTAAGCAATCCATTTCTCGGAACCATCGTAGCTGCGAGCTTGGGGAATAAATTACAGAAAGTGTTGGTACTTGTCACCTTCTCAGAGTCATGCTTATTTGTTCGTTGTAAAAAAAATTATGCGCAGTCCAGCGCGTGCAATTTCAATGCACCAGAGAATTGCTAGAGAATGGCAGGTTGCAACTCGCACGTCACCGGCCGGCAAAATTGCAATTGACGATAATGCCCTCATGAAGAAAAGTCAATAGGTATGTTGTAACACCTGGCACTCCGTTATTTATTATGCGCGCCGTGCTGGTGTCACATCGTCTGTTATTTTTCCAAATGTTTGCGACAATATTGTTAAGGGAACGATTATTATGCAAATCCTGTGGCGTGGGTAAAAATATGTTCCTGCGTTGTTATCATCTTCTAGTTTATTGTCAGAATTAACAATTTCTATTCGTTAGTTTTCACTTTAGCGTAGTTATTTTTGAGCAGTTAATGGTAAATAAATTATTAGCTGCCATAATAAATTAAGAACACACTGATAATCATAATAACCGAGCAGAGGATAATAATTTATCCTCTGTAGGAAATATTACTTTTTTTTGTGATTCTCAATTATCGTAATTGTTTTAATTAAAGTATGAAAAGGAATTCAATGTTATACATACATGTCGTACATAGAGGCAGCATGACCATCGCTAGAAGCTATTCTGGGGAATTGTTGTCGGTGGTATAATTGCGATGGTGACAACGAACGTAGTCTTCTTCTGTAAGACGTGCTCGCCCGTATCGCAGGGAAATGATCGTTGGTTTGAGCGTCCGACGAAGTAAGCTCGACGTCATTGACCTTCTGCGAGGTCGCGTCCTTTGTCCTACGGTAGAACCTTGTCTGTAACACGATATAAATTTCTGTTAGGATCACGCAAAGTTTGATAACATGGCAATCTTTTCATCTACTTGAACGCTCTCGGGAGTTCTAGAATATAATTAGATTTAAGAATTAAATTTTGCACTAATACATTGAGTGTACCAAATTTAGTTATCGTCTGAAAGTTCAAAAAAACGGTATTCAAGTTGAGAGAGTACTCAATATCTCAACTCCTTCAATTTTTATCTCACTAAATAAATTACTTTGATTTGGTAAAATGATTAAAGTTGCGCGGTAGATCGTTAAAGTATTAAATTAAAATTAAAAAGAAGAATATTTTCTACGATTTCTAATTACTAGGCTATGAACGTTTATGCGATTGGCAATTCCTCTTAAGAGCATCTGCAGTTATAGTTATACCGAAGAAGACCTACTCGAGGATACATGTTCCTATCGCTGATCTCTTCGCCACTGTTACTATAATCAAGCCTATTGTAAGAGTGTGTTAATGGCGTTGGAGCTGTCTGAAGCTGTCTGAATGAATTCTCGTCTTGGAACCGTTCCTGTCTTCTGTTAACCAAATTGTACCTAGAAAAACGAAGCCACTTTAAAGTAACTATTGCACTATAAGATAATCTACTAAAACAGTTATTAAAATGATGCCTATATTTACATATCATGCATGATAAATGTTTGTTGCTGAATGTTCCTCGGCAATGGGGACTGCTGACTATCGCTGTAATTCGATTGTGAGAACCTGGAGCTGGTGTCAGACCTCCTTGATGTTTTATCTTTCTCCATATACTTGTGATAAATTCTTCTGGTGTCCGTGTACTCCTGGCTCGAATTATCCGAAAGAGTCTGTAACGTTTGTTTCATTAAGTAATGTGGCTTTTAATTACTTATCGATATTTCCGAGTAGTCAACACTTACACTGTTGTCTGTATTCGTATTGTTCAGATTCTTTATGGAGCAGAATGTCTCATGACTAGTACTGGTGCCACTCTCTCGTTGGTTCTTTTTTCTTCTGAACATAGTTCCACAAGATCTAGATACGTTAGATTAAAAATTATTATGGATTCTAGATTTTAGCAGTTCTTTTAATTGATCAACACTGCATTTTAATTTAGGATTGCTACAGAATTCCTAAGCAGTATTACTTAGCATTTCCTTCTTGCGAATCAATGCTGCTAGTACTCTCAGCAGCATCTTTCAATCTCTTCTTCAACTGATTCGACTCCATATTGTTATTCTTGGATCCTCGATCCCTAGCGAACAACACCGGAATCCGAGAGTCTGCTTTGTTTGTAATTTCCTAAAATACAAGCTGCATTAAGGTGAATTATTATAACCTATGGTACGGTTGTCAAAGAGACATCATCTTGAGATGATCTACCCGTTGATCTAGAGTGTCATCAGCTATGTTACGGTAATTCTGGGTATCCCGCACCGTCGCCGGAAGTCTTAAATTGGACCTCGAGCTCAAGGTATAGCTCTCGGCTAAAATTGAACAAAAATACAAGAGTAATAAATTCGATTGTACTACAATTTTTAATGACTTAAAAAATATAGGGCTCCTTGTTAGCCAATACTATACTCGATTTGTTTAAAAGAACAATGAAACGCTGTCAAAAATAAAATTACCATTTCTAAAGTCAGTATTGACGCCTCGACCCGATTGCAGACTCACTTCATCGCACTGAAGGTCCTGCAAGAAATACATAATTACCATTAGTACCATTTTATTAAAATCTGAATGAAAAATATTTTGAATTATTCTATAAACACCATAAATCAATTCTACACATACTTATTAATTTTAAATTAATTTTAGATAACACTGTGCGTTCTACAGCAACAGCATCGATTGATTAATTCTTCGCGCTCTCGTGATCGTTACTAACCTTAAGTAAGTTCAATACATATTGTAAATTTATATGGGGCATTATCTCGGGTGGATACCACCTGAAATTACGGTTGTCATTGACACGAGAACGATTCTCCGCGAATGCAAAAATACTGCAACACTTCCAAAGAATTTTTACACAATATTTATACAGTAAAGCAACTTTGTAAAGAATTAAAAAAAAAACAAAACTGTCTCCGATGTAGCGGCTTGAATTCATCGTTGAATTAATTCATCGAGATAGTAAATCAACGTGTTCAATCCAGTCTTGTACAAAATTAATATGATCTATAATGATCTATAAGCTGCGGATTTTATAGTTTTATAAGAAAGTTGAGTGAAACGTGAAGTACAGAACAGAAAATTGTTTTCTGGTATAAATATCTATAGATCAATGATTTATTGAATCAAACAGGGGACACATTCAGCTTGCGATACGAAACAATTCATTTTCAACGCGCTGATCGCGAGATGGTTAGCTCAAAGCTGCCGTTGTTATTCAATATGCAATTTCTTATTTAAATCGCGAGAAGAAGGCGGAGAGTAAATACAATCGTGATTTGCAGCTAAGAACCGTTCTCGTGTAACATGTTTCGCGAGCAACGCTGACCTCGGGACACGCGAGGAAAACGTCCAACTGAGAATGTAAGCCTACTCGGCTCATTAAGCTTGCATTTCGATAGCGTCCTCATTAAAATTGTTAATTGATATTTGCATTCCACATTGTGTACTAATGTTATCGATTCCGGGTGCGCGCCAAATCCCGTTCATTGACATCGGCCAGAGGTACACTGACAAGGATCGTTATTACATCTATTCTTGTTCCATCACAATGTTGATAAATTCTTTTGAAATTGCTTCCCTTTCGACAGTCATTGCACAATTTAATTGCAAACGTCTTACTATCTAAATCTATTGAAACACGTAATATTATTTTTAATTTTCAAGATACATATCAGAGAATTTTTAACGGCATTTTTGATAGATTTAGGTGCCTCATCTAATTATTGTTAGACTTCGTCTTCCATGTACATATATACCTGATTGTGTGTTGGCACCATCTGCCAAACCACAGGGTGGTCACCTTTAGGTCTCATCGCCACTCCAAGGGCTACTAAATTTGGCCTATCGATCCAGGGATTTTCAGAGGCTTTTGCATTCCCATATCTGAAAATGTTTAACAAAACCTTTTATTATATAATATTGTATTGTATAATGGACCTCGTTGAACTGTAGATTTTTGGTAATTTTTAGTAGAGAGAGAGAGAGAGAGAGAGAAGACTATATATATAATAATAAAGATAATAATAAAGGATATACCTTTCTAAAAATAAATTTAGTAATATAATAAATAATTTAGTATATATACAGGGTGTCCCAGGTTTTAATGTTCGAACTTCGTTAGTGTATTCTATGGCACAAAGTAAGAAAAAAATGTTATGTAAACATAGGTCATATGGAGCTTTATTAAGAAGTTACAACAAAAATTCAGAATATAGGAATAGTAATCAACTTGCTGTTACTGCGAGCATTGGCTTGAATAGATCAGCACATGCCGTGTGTTTATGTAAGCTGTGTTTATTAATACATTTCGAAATGTATTAATAACCGTTGTTGACAATACATGATTGACATCGATCGAAGATTTTTTTTTATTTTTTATTTTTTTTTTAGTTGATTACTATTCCTATTCTGAATTTTTGTTATAACTTCTTAATAAAGCTCTATATGACCTATCTTTACATAACATTCTTTTCTTACTTTGTGCCACAGAATATACTGATAAAGTTTGAACATTAAAACCTGGGACACCCTGTATATATAAATTTATTTCTAGAAAGGTATATTTGATCTTCATTATTATTTTATATTTCATCTTCTCATTTCTGCCTGCGTTTGTACGCATAAAATCCACACTATATTACCGATGATTGATAATGAACCACCTGTAATATTCAGGACATTACCTAGTAAGTTTCTCCTGCTCGGACCTAGTCGCTATAATTTGACCCTTTGTACGACCGATGCCCGGCGATACCGAACCACTTCCGGCTACTATCCAATCAACATCAGGACCTGAGAAAAGTGTAATCAAATATTGAATAAAGCCTGAAGATAGCGGAAATTGAACAGGTTCTATAGATCGCTGAGCGGAGCTCGGCGATAGACTACATTAATGATCAAATAGGGGACTTACCAGTGGCTATCTGGACGGTGGGCGAAATTTGCAAACCGTACATAACGAGGCCATCGGCGGAGACCAAAGGTAACGACTTCCGGGCGAGACGCGCCCGAATAGCAGACATCATCGCCTCTCCATCGTGGTGTGCTTCCGATGCCCGTTTTCCAGCCGCTAATACTTCCTGCAACCGTTCAACAATAACACTACCGATCCTCCCCGCTATGCATTCTAACTCCCTTTCCGCTACCATTCGTAATCTCCCTTCCTTTTCACAATCCTGGTTAGGCTAAGCTGGACTAAGCCAGGCTGAACATGGCCCTTAAAGATTAGAGCGAGTTGCACGCTCGAGGACTGATTTTTGGCGACAATGCGAGTACCATTTTACGAAATGAGTACAATTTCAGGGAACGATCTTCCGAGAACAATGTAGAAAACATTTGTTCAAAAACATTTTTTGCGTTTCTCATGTTTGACTATTAAATAAAGCGTATTGAAAGATTTTTAGGAGTCCGAAGAAGATAACAGGCTCTGTGTGAAATAAGACTCGGTACCTCGGTCTCGTAGATCTGTGCAAGAACAGCCAAAGTATCGAGCGCAGCCTGCCGTACTCTGCGTCTTCGGTCTCTGACCATTTTAGCAACCTTGTTCGCCACCGTGTCCACCTTGAACTCGGTGCTCGGAAAAGTCACCAGAGAGAAGATTAGCAGTTGCAAGGTGTTCTCCCTGGTCTGTAGTAACAGAAAGAATAATCTCTCTCTCTTTAACTAAAAAGTCTACCTAAAGAATTCCTAGATAGAGGATGTAACGTCACCTTAGCGTTCCTAGCGTTCAAGCACCGCGGCTGCAGGAATTCCTCTAGAAGAAGAGCGGGTCTCAGTCTGAGCATCGCTAGCCTGGCCAATTGAGCAGCGCACGGTCCACCTTGTCTGGCTAAACCCCATGAGAGCTGGGGCAATCGTTCCTTCAGAGCCTCCTCGCTCACGCCAGCCACGACCACCTAATGGGATCAAATGATTTACGTTTCATCAGGCGTGTTTCTTAGCTTTCATATTTCTTCGCATTAAAGCTGGCCGTCGTAAACCTCGATTTGAAATACTCGCGTGTAGGTAAAGTAGTCACGAGGGACTCTGTTTACTGCTATTTTATAGGAATGCTCGGCTTGGAATGTCCTAGTGTTGCAGGAAATCTGATGTTCAAGATCGAAACTTCAGATCCAAGCTTGTAGCTATTGTGGACGATTTTTAAGTTTTCGAATTTTTGGACTTCGGGGTCTAGGGTGTCCAAAGATTATGGCATCATCGAGACTATCTGGAGGGTGGTTAGAAGTCCTGTGTTCTGGCAGACCACCAAAATTATTGAGATTTCTTGGTCTACTAGGACCTTCGAAACTGAATTCTTGAACTCCTGGAATTTTGAAGATTCTTGGGAATCCAGGACTCTCTTCGAGTTTGAGGATACTGAGACCTTCGAGTCTGGGATTCCTAAGAATTTCTAAGGATTCCCACCACTTTTACATCTTCCAATAACCTGAAACTCTCGGGAAGGAAGAACGTCTATCAAGATTACCGAATTGCCGAGACTTTTAGGCCATCTGCAATTTCTTCAAATATACTGAAGAATTCCAGGGAATCCTATAACGCCGAAAGCCAGTGGAATTCTTGGGATGTCTAGAATCCTTGGAGATACACAATATAATAAAATCTGCCGACTATCAAGATTCTTAGAATCCCTAATCTCAACAGAACACCCACTCGAGATTTATGGAACCTGAAATTCCTTGAATCGTGGGAACATCTAGGAATTTTCGAGTCGCTAATTGCTGAGACCATTTGGCTTCCTAAATCTTGCACGATATGAATAATATAATATATAGAGTTATATCGATCAATAATGACTTCGCAAACTTTCTGTGAATAGCTGTTACCGTTTGGTCAGCAGTTGCAATCGGAGAAAACAAAGTACAGTAAATTCTCCCTAATTGGCGCCGAGATTCTGCGCAAAAATGGACAGTTAGGGAGGAGGAGATCCGATTATTCGAGCCTTGCAGCTCGTTTTTATAATTGTTGAAAATCGGTAACTATAAAAAACGAGTCGCAAGGCTCCATTTCCCAAATTGTTCATTTTCATGGACAATCTGAGCGTCAATTAGGGAGACATTACTGTAACCGTCAAATAATCCGGCACGGAGATCGCATCTCGATTTATCAGCTGGTAAACGAAGCGACGAAGAAAATAATATATACTTATGGAATAACGCGCGCTAAGAACTTAGCATTTAGATTGATCTAGCAGGCGCGAACGTACGAGTTCCCAGGCTTACCTTTGCCACTGCCAAGCCAGCAGCAGCTACTCGACAGCTCCTTTCACAGCCTAGCACAGTATGCAAAAGAGATCCTAATCGCGGCTCTATCGCGATCAGCGCAGAAGACGTTCGTAAAGCCGATGCTACTCGTTCCAGGCCTCTGACACGAGCTCGCCAATCGTCCTGGAACAATGCCACGTCACGGGCAATTAAAGAAACGATATAAAAAAGAAATTGCATCACACAAAAATCATTTAAATTAACAATCAGCTTCTTATAATGGTTCCAAACATGTTCGAACGTTAAACTTGTTGACATTCAATCTGTCATAATTTCGTAAAAGATAATCGCACGACGATAAAATTAGATTGATTTTAAAGCTCCAAGCTTCTACTTTTATAGCCTATTGGTCATTTTCTTCTTAGATGTTTCAGCCCAAATTGGCAGACCTTTGGCGACAGATTGGAACATCGGAAATTGTCGATATTCGAACTGCTCGACTTTGGTAAAAAACAATCGTATGACCTTTTTGGTCTGNTCGAGTCGCTAATTGCTGAGACCATTTGGCTTCCTAAATCTTGCACGATATGAATAATATAATATATAGAGTTATATCGATCAATAATGACTTCGCAAACTTTCTGTGAATAGCTGTTACCGTTTGGTCAGCAGTTGCAATCGGAGAAAACAAAGTACAGTAAATTCTCCCTAATTGGCGCCGAGATTCTGCGCAAAAATGGACAGTTAGGGAGGAGGAGATCCGATTATTCGAGCCTTGCAGCTCGTTTTTATAATTGTTGAAAATCGGTAACTATAAAAAACGAGTCGCAAGGCTCCATTTCCCAAATTGTTCATTTTCATGGACAATCTGAGCGTCAATTAGGGAGACATTACTGTAACCGTCAAATAATCCGGCACGGAGATCGCATCTCGATTTATCAGCTGGTAAACGAAGCGACGAAGAAAATAATATATACTTATGGAATAACGCGCGCTAAGAACTTAGCATTTAGATTGATCTAGCAGGCGCGAACGTACGAGTTCCCAGGCTTACCTTTGCCACTGCCAAGCCAGCAGCAGCTACTCGACAGCTCCTTTCACAGCCTAGCACAGTATGCAAAAGAGATCCTAATCGCGGCTCTATCGCGATCAGCGCAGAAGACGTTCGTAAAGCCGATGCTACTCGTTCCAGGCCTCTGACACGAGCTCGCCAATCGTCCTGGAACAATGCCACGTCACGGGCAATTAAAGAAACGATATAAAAAAGAAATTGCATCACACAAAAATCATTTAAATTAACAATCAGCTTCTTATAATGGTTCCAAACATGTTCGAACGTTAAACTTGTTGACATTCAATCTGTCATAATTTCGTAAAAGATAATCGCACGACGATAAAATTAGATTGATTTTAAAGCTCCAAGCTTCTACTTTTATAGCCTATTGGTCATTTTCTTCTTAGATGTTTCAGCCCAAATTGGCAGACCTTTGGCGACAGATTGGAACATCGGAAATTGTCGATATTCGAACTGCTCGACTTTGGTAAAAAACAATCGTATGACCTTTTTGGTCTGAATTAGCAGGTGGATAACCGATGACATGTATTTTCTCATATACTGAAGCGTATCTAAGAGTTCGAAGCGTAGGGATGTATGCACCAGATTCGCTTACCCGAGATAAATATTATCGACGAGATGATCCTACGTAACACGAATGTATTGAGAGGTTTCGGTGTGGAAAGCGTCATTTCTGCGTGATGTCGTTGTTCAAGAATCACGACACACGAGTTGTCGGGCGAACATTATCGATCGTTGCAGCAGCAGGTTTGAATGCGATGCACAGGTAACATCTGCATTCGCTTTCCGATTCAGCTGTATTTACGCGGAGATGGCCAATGATATCGACTTTTCGTAATTTCGTTGAACTCGCGGAAGACCGTGTCGCATCGCGTGGAACCCGGCTAATTTTCTGCAGCCGAAGATAGCCGCATGATTCAATCGCAATTCCATTTTATTGTTCGTTCTTCGGATTAGCGCAAAGTTGAAGATTGCTTCTTCGTTCCCCGAACAAATTGAGAAGACTGATTTTTAATCGAAATAATCTCTCTTTCTCTACGATTTTCTGGAAGTGGATCCTGAAAAAGGTCGATCTCCACGGACTAAACGACTTGAACAATTTTGTACGTTGATTCGGCCTAAATAGGTTCACATAATGGAGCAGTAGTCGGAAAATTGCAGGTTAATTGAATAGGAATGTTATGCTAATTGTCTAGAAGCGCCGGAGATAAGAGAACATGAGAGGTTCGTTCGTTAAAATCAACGGAGTTCAGTCTGGAAAGCCGCATAACGCATAAATTCGAGTGAATAATGGTAATAATCGTAGCAAGCAATAATTCTACGTCGTTCATAATTCAGGAGGGTGCCGAGACAAACGCGAATGCGAAAACCGTGGAATTCGCGGATTCGAAGATCCGACGGGTTCTCGACGGGTTCGGAGAAGAAAGAGGGGGTGGAACGAAGGTGAATCGTGGCAAAGATTTGCATATAACACGGAAAGGACGTTTTACTGGACCGTCTCGGCACACGCAACACATTCGCGTAATTATTTTCTTGTTAGTGGGTGGAAGGTTCGGCGCACGCGTCTTTCACCCCCGCGTTTCCATGCATAAATGACCCCCCCCCCCCGGGCCCTTTCTGCTTCTTTTTAGCATATTTTTCCACACCTTTCCCTTCTCCGCCGTCTCGCAACCTTACTTTCCCTCGAACTCTTATTTCTGCTTGTCGTCCCTGCGTCTTTTCTCTACTTTCATTTTCACCCCCTTTTCTTATCAAACGTCTCCTGTTATCACCTTCTCTTCTTCTCTTTTCCTGCTTTTTTTACTTATATGCTTTTAATCACGTTCTCCGTCCCATGTTTCTCACCTATCTTGTCTCTTTGGTTTCGTCGTTTCCATGGGTTTGTGTTGCCATTAAAAAATCAATCAACATTTGTTTTGTCAAAGGAGTGAGAAGGCAACTTTCAACATTTTTATTTAAGTCTATAATATATTTGCCAGATTTTTTAATTAAGATTTTAATTTGACATTATTTTCTACGCTTAATGGTTTCTTCTCAATTGACTTTACAGCTTCTCCAATAATGAAATTCATTTGATAAAACTAGATGTGCATAGAGAATCGCCGAAAATAATGTTAGCTAATTAAAAAATTGGTAACGGACTATTCAAAAGACTATCGTGCAACCATCGCGATGGGGATTTCAAAACAAAAATCAAATCATCGTGGACAAAACTCCACGATTTTACCAAATGCTCCTAAAAATGCTGAAAAATCGCACTTCTAATTTCAGTGAGCGTTCTATCTTTTTCTTCTGACTTTATCTTTCTGTTTCGTGGTTTCCCTCTCCGTTTATCGTTTTTCATCCACGGAATATTCATGGTGGTTGCACGCGGGGGTGCGCCAATATGGCGGCGCCACGTGGAAAACACAAGAAAGCATGCATAATGCAAAAGTCCGCGTTTCAGTGCTACGAAGATACGTGATGGAAATATATCCTGGAAGTGTGATCAATCTATTTAATCGAATGACGCGTACCGTAACCCTCCCACGAGGGTGTGCTTCGGAAAAACCTTGGCGGACGTTGAAAAAACGACGCGGGGAGTGATTAACACGTTAGATTGATGAGTGTGTTGCTTCCGTGGCGAATATTGTAGTGGAGGTTCGCGACCTGGGGGAGTTTCGCCAACTTACGCAAATCTTTCACCGTTTTCCGCTGTTAATACGTTCACAACCCCACTATAAAATCCCACAAAATCAAAATTGTAGCGATACCGTAGGGATGAGCACATTTTTGGTTAAAGTAATACAACTGTACTACTCGTTAATTTCTATTTTTCACAACAATTAAGTACATCTTTTAATAACTAGTTGGTAATTAGTAGAATCACTCGCTCAAAAGCGACTGGTTCTCTTTGAATGTTGTACAAATATATTTCATTGTTCATAATGTTATAAAATCGTTCATAATGTTTAAAATGTTATAAAATATATCATTGCATTCCGGACAGTACACAGAATCCTCCTGTCCGATAATCATTCGCATAACTTTCATTGTTCCAGCGAAAGAAAATCTCAAAGTTGGTAATGCGATAAAATTCTTATTTATCAGCATATTCAACGTAATTCTAGAAATATAAATTTTCTAATATTTCTATCAATATTTCTACTCATTTCTATCGATTCGTCACTCCGCGAGGAAGGAGAATCATCGTAAAAATTATATCTGATGATCTGAAGATTAAAGGACGTTTCTCGTCAGCCGATCATTTCATTACCATTCATCGAGCTTATCATTTCCAAACATAATTATCGAGTGAAGAGGATCATCGATATCAGCACTACATCGTTCTACCATTATCGCTAGGTAAATTGGAGCGGACGCTACTTGGCGGCTAGAGACGCCTGAATCGTTTATTCTCGTGCGAAACGGTGTGTCGATTTCTTCTATTAAAAAATAAAAAAAAACACCGCGGGTCGCCCGTCGGGTCGATATCCGTGATACTATTCAGTTTTATAGTTCTTATTGCCCGCACACCTGCACATAGCGACATTCATGAGGAGGCATAGAGTGGCCTTGAACTTCCGTTGAATGAAAGGAAGACGATTTTCACGGCCAACGGGTGTGTTCGACGTGTTTCTGCGACACGAATAGCGCTTTTTTTTCTAACTTTCCTCGCCGACAAACTCTTTCACAACCTTCAGCCTTACGTCCATTAGTGTTTCAGTTTCTTCCCGATTAAGAATTCATAAACAATTTGGACCGACTACGATTAGCAATAAATAATCTGCAGACACTTATGTTGACTTCGAAGCTTCTGCATTATTTTTATAGAAAGTGTTGTAAGGATGACTTTCCTTTCAATCTTAAATGATTGAAAGATGATTTTTAATCAATCTTTATGCCAATTTCTATTCTCGTTGGTTAGTTTGTAAACTCTTTTATGTATATCGCAAAGTAAGAATATGTTTCGTAATGATGTAATATTGTTCTTTACGACATTGAATGAAAAAAAAATTGAATAGAAAAAAACTTACTGCACGACTTTTTCTATAATACATAGCTGCTTAATTTTTTAATATCTATCTCTCTTTTTCTTTCGTTTTTTTTTCTTGATAATCTTACGTTCTCTAATGTTATCTACTGTTAGCGGTAGCTTTTCGAATGTAAAAAATATTTCGCGACAATTCTATTTTAATTTCTATAACGATATTTAAATTATTCAAGTAAAGTGGCTATAATCTTTTCAATTTCCAGTCTTTCTTCTAAAGAATGTATATGTCTACGACGCAGGAAATAAATGTTATCGAGTTACAGTAAATTCTCCCCCAATTGCCCCTCGGCTTGTAAATAAAAATGGACAATTTTGGAAGAGGAGATACGATTATTCGTGTCTCGCGGCTCGTTTTTTATAATTGCCGATTGTCAACACCTATAATGTATTACATGTTTCAAATGAGCCCAAACGTCTGTATAAATTGGTCTTCCGTATGAATCACCTGTTCAAGTTGGTCTGCCAGTCAAAGGACACGCTGAACACGAAAATCGCTCACGTCCGAATGTTCACGGACAGGAAGAAGTTAATTGAATTCCGAAGGTCGACCGTGGAATATCAATTTGATTATAGTATGAGGTGTCTTGCCGCGGGATTCGTGCACGCTAGATCCATCACTGTCCCAGACGAAGAGGAAACCGGTCAGTCAGTGTCTCGCCAGTAGGAAGAACGAATATTTAGCCGGTTCTTCGAGCAGACACGCGCTTTTTTCTACGAATGATACTAATTTCGAGTGCAGTTTGCAAGATCTTCTCTGGGTGAAACACGGTGCAATTTTATTGATACAATTTCCTACCCGCAGTCAAGTATATTAAAAACAAAAACAAAAAATCACGATGTTTCGAAATCGGCGAAAAATCGAGCGAACGTTGAAATACATCCTAGGCTGCGGATTATTTATAGTGATCGTTAGGTTAACGATTCTTCGCGTGGGTGAAGAAGATAGACCGGTGGCTACGCTCGAAGAATTGAGCAAATTAATGGTGCGCCCATAATTCTAAATTTTAATCTAAACGCGTAATAAATATAACGCGGAGTATTGTCAGTGATTGCAAATAATAGCATAGTTTTGAATTCTTTAAATGGTTTCACCGATTTGCATTTGGTCTAATTCCGTTTTTTTCATAAATGCATAAAATCCGCTCTGGTTACCGATAAATTGATTAAATTACTATCTTTTCGTCTGGTAACAAGAATTAATGTTATTCAGGTGGAGGCGGAGGCAGATAATTTTAAGCGGCTGGCGAGAGTCACAAACACGTGCAAAAATTATAATCTAGGATCGTACAGAGATCCTAATAAACCTGCGATCTTCAAACATCCGCCCGCGCCGCAGTACGCTGTCTTTTACATAACTAGGTTCGTCGATCGATTAATTAATACCACTAATCACAGTACTCGGATGATCACGATCCAAATATTGACTTAAAAGTACTATAACTAGATTTCACGTATTTGTGATCAAAGTCAAGAAATTTAATATGAGATACGGTAGAACTTCGCTTATCCGAATTCAAAATTGGTCCTCCTGTAGTTTCATCGTTATTATTTGGAATAATCGGAAATCTAAATAACAAAGATCGAGGATAATCCAGTTCGGTTAACCGAGATTCTACTGTACCGAAATTTTAATTTAATTTTCATCGAAATTATTAAAAAAAAAAAACGTGAATGTACACGTGGATTCTGTATCTTGCAAATTAATAGATTGCCTTCGTGCAACATTATTTGTCGAATAGATCGCATAATCTATCATACTGTCCGATTTACAAAGCCGGCAGCACAACGTGGATCTACAACTTGTGCCTTCTGATGAATGTGCGAGAAGACGAACTGAACAGTGGAAAGGAGCAAATATCGGCGATCGCCAGGAGAGTGATACCGGAACTTGAGTATCCAGAAGCTGAAAAGGTGAGAAGAGTGAGAAGGCACAAAATTTCTTCGGATTTCGTTTCACAACGGCGGACCATATCTAAACTAAATCAAAATTCTACCCCACTTCCCTTTCCTCGGTACCCATGCGCGAAAACAGGAATTTGCATAAACGTTCGATAAAACGACATTCTACTGCACATAATTCTTGTGCATTAAGAATGAAATTGTACTAAATTTTGCCACGATAATTATCCAATTATTAACTCGCTGAATAAACAGCTTCATTTCACGTAGTTCCGAGAAGAGCTAAGCAACTTAAATCTTTACATATTTATTTGTAATAACCTTGATTAAATGCGAACAGTTTAACCTCTCAGCTGCGTCGACCAATCTTTAATTTCGTATATATTTTATCGATCACGCTACGTCCAACTTCCTTCGACAGGTTCATCTATGATTATTCGACATATACATTTAACAAAAATTGTCGTTAAAATTGCCATTTCTATATGACGACTATAATCCACAGCTGAGACGTTAAAAATTATTGGAACCAGAAAAGACACTATTCTAAAGACATCCTGACATAAAAGATACAAAAATGGTGCATCGATGTATATTAGGTTGTGTAATAAATCAATTCGCGGACTTCCGAGGAAACTTGCACGAATTTGAAACGATAATTCGAATGAATTTTGAGATATGTTCTTGTGAGGCTATTTCTATGCAACTTAGCTTAAACGAAAGCTAGAAGTGTATACTCTAAGACATGGTAGATTAGACTGCAAAAGAACGACGAGAATGAGAAGTTATGAAAAAAATAAAAAGAATTGTCCTCTGACATCGTGGGGTTTGCAAAATTTAAAAGAAAAGAATAGATTTTAAGATATATTCTCGTGGAGTTGTATCTATGCAACTTACTTAGCTTAAATGAAAGCTGGAAATGTCGACTTTAAGACAGGACCACGTGCAGACCACGACTGCACGGTACCTATCTAAAATGTGAATCATGGATTAAAAAATGAATCCAAAACATGTGCCACAAATCGTTCCTTGTAAAAAGGTCTGTAGATTCTCGCAAGGCTATTTGCAAGAACATCCCATTCGAAGGGTACACAAAGATAAAAGAAAGAAGGGTAATGCAGCACCGCGGGTCACTCTGCAACGAGAATTGTGTCTTCGAGTAACGAGACCGGTGTTCGGCGAACAGCCCGGCGATAAACGAGCACGGGAAAAAAGAGTTGGTCAGCCAGTTTTTCGCCTAATTGTAGCATGCGCTGTTCGATTAACGAAATCGTCGAGATCTTCGACAGAATCGGCCCGCGAACGTAACAAGATCTAACACAAGGAAAACTGGTGCAGGCGCTGAGGGGAACGAAGAAACTGCTGGTGGTAAGGCACCCATTTGAGAGATTGCTGAGCGCGTATCGCGATAAGCTGGAGAACTCCGTGGCTGGAAGGGAGCACGGGACACTTCACTTTTATCGGAAATACGGCGGCAAGATTGTTCAAAAGTATCGCGGTGAGTCACGGCAAAATATCGACCGCGATATTCCCTAACGTCGCGTTCCCATGGTGTGCCGGTACACGTGCGAGATTTCTGGCTCTCCTCTGACCAATGTAAATACACCGACCGCGATCAAAACGTTTATTGCGAGACAAACAGCTTCAAACTGATTAGAATTTTGCTATAAGATTAAAACTTGTTAACCTACTTTTCATAGATTGCAAAACAAAAGCATGAAAACATGAGGAAATCTAAGCAAGTAGATCTTTGTTCCGTCGAGTATTAAATTTATTATTCTTGTTCCCGCTGCATTTTCATAGATTTGAAAACTTTATGTGCGTGTAGAGGTCCCAGGGAAACGTATTTTGCACTTGCAGAAGCATTTGGGATTGAAATAGATGCAAATTTTGTGCGCATAATTCATAATTTGTGCGATTCTTTTCGTTTCTCTCGCAAGCGGTTTGTAACACCATGAAACTCGGTTTCAAAATAAAATTAATGACTAGACTGCGGATCTTTATGCAAAATAATGAATCAACTGAATCTGAATCAATTAAAAGGTACAAGATTTGAATAAATATCTGTTTCTTTTTTTAATAATTTTAATAAATGGTGGAGAATGTAGGAATGTCCTTAAATTCTTTTAGCGTCTTCGTTGCCTGGAATTTTACGTAGTCAACTTTATCATAAATACTCAAAATCCGCAGTCTACTGATAACACACACGTGGTTTTGTTTGTACAAAATATTGAAACTACACTGGAATTATACCGTAGATGCTATCTAATCTTTTTTGCAAAGGAACGTTTTGACAATTACGAAACAGCCGTGTTTCACGAAGACACGGTAACGCCGGCGAAAAATGATTTACTGTTTCATTCGTTGAAAATATTGACTCTGCCGTTAATTAGTTTGATTTATTTAAAGGCAGGGATGTGTTTTATAAGTAGGGAGTAACCGAGTGTCTTGGAATGCAGAAATAATCATTTCTGATCGAGATATTACGTTTCCAGAAAAGAACTTCACGAGACCGCGCGATGACCAAGTGATCCGACAATATGGCGTCCCGGCGCCGAATGGGATCGAGCCTACGTTCAGAGAATTCGTGGAGTACTTGATCCACACGGATCTAGCCAGCTACGGAGACGATCATTGGATGCCTTATTATCTGTTTTGTACTCCTTGCCTCGTCGATTATGAGATAATTGCGAAGGTATGGTAAAAATGAAGTAACTTTAAGTATGAATGAAGTAACATCAAATTTCAATGCTACGATGATTTCTGTATATACTATTTAAATTATTCGATATAGAACAATATTAGAAAGTTTATTAAATAATACGCATAATAAAATGCATAATAAATGTATGCATTCGCAGCACATAGAAATGATAGAAAAATTTATATTGTATGAAAGTTAAAGATTTCAATGTACTTTCATCTCGTTTATAATTCGCAGGAATCAAACTTCAAGGAAAGAACTTTCTTTCTTTCTTTATCCTATTTTAATTAATTTAGACAAGTGCGTGTTTGCACGAAGATCTATAATTCGCTAATGATTAGAAAGAAATGCATTGTTTTCCAGTCGATTTGTATTTTCTCGTTCCGCAGGTAGAAACATTGCGGCGAGACCAGATCTACGCGATCCATAAATTCGGGTTGCAGAAGTTAATTAAGCCAAGGTGGCGACACAGCGGAGGTCACTTGAATGCATCAAAAGTATACTTCAGTCAGCTCAGCCCGAACATGGTGGAGAAGCTCTACGAAAAATTCAAATTGGACTTCGATCTGTTCGACTACTCGCCGGACGTTTACTATCGATACGCGACTGGGCCATCACTCCGTCAATAAATTCTAATTGATACCGTCTGCCACACCTGTTTACACCTAAACGATCTAAAAATGCAATTTTCTCAAATCATTGCCTGTACGTTTTAATCATTTCTTGAATCGTTGAGACGATTGCTCTATCCTTCCTGATTGAATTTAAACGAGCATCGATCGTCTCTCCGCATGAGAATCGCTGGCGGCGCTAATCGACTCGCTCATGGAATATTTAAAAATCCAACTACACAATGGTGAATTCAATCCGGACCGGTTCCGAACTGTCGCGGCCACGGTAATCGCCGGTTGAAACACTCAACGGTTACGAAAAACAAAAAGAGCAAGAACTAAGGGGACGTGTTAAAGTCTGATAAGCACACGTAGCCTTAATTGATGGGGTTTAAATCACGTTACGCCACGCGACGAACTTTTGCCAACGAAATCGATTGACCTAGTTTCCCGCGGATGTATCAGAACGATCTGTCCCAAAGTCCTTCCCCTTAAACCGGCGTTAATGGGGGTCGTGAACGGACAAAGGAAAAAATATACGTCGACGATTACTGGTCAGTGTCCCTTCATTGATCCCCGGACGTTTATGTCGATAGAACATTACAATTTTTATGTCTACTCTAGAGTCCTCGAAGTGTACGTACACAGTCATTATTTATGAAGATAATTAGACGATAAATAACTTTACGAAGCCTTGTTTCAAATTGATTGGTGTGAGAATGCTTCCTATTGCAACAGTATTAACGCAGCTCTGCAAAATGCTTGGCAATAAGAGAATTCAGAAAGCAGAGAATATTAATGACTATAAAGATTATCGTGATTTCGGCTGTTGTTCATCAATATTTTTAGACATATTTTTAACGGTACTTTTTCCAGATCAATTGAATATTGTGTAAAGTCTTCCCATCTACTCGAGCTACCATTTTGTTAAAGTCAGCTTTGTGTTTTAGAAACGGATCTGTCGCTTATTAGCAGGATCCAAGAATCTTCCTCTAAAATTAATCGTCAGGAGCTATGCAGCCAGTTAACACCTTTGAATTGCTAGCTAAAAACAGACCCAGGCTCCGCCATGCAAGTGCTATTTGATTAAATGTGTCTAGCATTTAGCTGACCTTGTTATGCAAATCCTCGAGCACCTCCTGGTCCACCAGACCCAGTTCCTCCCAGCTAGGCTCCTCGGACATCCTCTCCAACTCGTCGATTCCACGCACAGTGTTTCCACTTTTGTCACTGGCTTTATCACCATTCATCGATCGTTCACCGTCAATAACCTCCTTCGCCGAACTGCTCTTCAACTTCATGTTATCCACAGATGAAGCCTCTTCGTTGATAAAATCTCTGGTGCTAGGTAAACCATCGTTACGATTGTAGCCTTCTTCATGATCCTCCACCGGAGATCCAAAGAACAAGTCCTTCTTGGGGTCTGCAACCTTCTCCTTTTCTTCGGAGGTCTTCTTCCGATCATTTTCAGTCGCAGTATCCCCCAAATCCTGCCTCTTATCCCACAGATTCTTCTCCTCTTTGATATCCTTCTTGTTCCGAACAGTGTCTTCCGGTCCCTGTGGGGTCTTCGAGCTCTTCGAAGTCTCCGAGCCTAAAATTTCATTTTGTTTCTCGTCCGAATTTATCCATTTGTTACCGACCAAGTGGTCTACATCTGGAACACTTTGGACAATTTTCCCAGACTCCTCCGACTTCATCCCCTTTGAAGGACTCTCCTCTGCGTCGTTCGACTCAAGGTCCTTCTTCTTCCTCGAGTCGGCAGGACTGCTGGTTCTAGCTAGTATGCTCTTCTTAGGACTCAGCTGTGCATTGTGCGTATAGACCTCTCTTTTAGGGCTGCTAGACATCGACCTAGTAGCCCTCCTAGGTTTCTCAGCTTCCCTCTGAGGGCTACAAGGCTGCGAGGAAGGCCTTTTCCGTGTCTTCGGCATCTTAGTCGCAGGGGTAACGGGAACCGGGATCCTAGTCTTCGGTGTCGCATCAACAGACTCCGTCTCGTCGCTGTCCGGTGTCCTCAGCTTCACTATTTCACCCCCGAAGTGCACTCTTCTAGGCGTCTTCTTGCGATCCGGAGACGAGTCCTTGTTTTCTCCGTCGTTTCTGACGTCTGTCCCGCTTTCCTCGTCCTGCTCCTTCTCGCTGTCTTCTTTCTCTTCTAGAATGGTCATCGTGATCGCCGTTTTCTCGTTAAACTTGATCTCAGTTTCCAGCACCACTCGGGCCGCGGGCATCACTCCGTTGTTCACCTCGTCTTCTTCTTCGACGATGCCCGAAGTGTCGCTGTCGCTCTCCTCCCACTTCCAGTCCCGTTCCTTGTCCGACTTCTCGACACCTTTATAAAAGTAGACTGTGATTAGAGAGACTATCGATTCAAGGATAGTATTCAAGGATAACTCAATTGTATACTTCAGTTTATGACTATATGGCTTTCACTTAGAACCACAGTGATGCAAGTGACATTTTCAAAATTTTAAATCATCGCTTAAGGCTTGGAACACATTGACTGTCATGCAATTATCAAAGTTCGTGCAATAATTAGTCTGTATGAAATAAAAATTATCTAATTACAAGCCTTACTTCATTCCCTCTACGATTTATATAATGGAATAAATATAATAATATAATAGAATACAATAGAATATAATTGAGTATAATAGAGTATAATATCCAAAGACTACCGGAGACCCATTGCAATGCCTCACCATCAGTGTTCTTCCTCTGCGGCTTCCTGCTAGACCTAACGTTATAAATCTTCGACAGGACCTCGATGTTCCTCTTCAACTTGTTGTCGTAGTCCTCCAAATAGCTCTCGAACTCGTCGACACCGACAGCGTCTCTGATCTTCATCAGCGACTTCAGCACAGCTTCCTGATGCGGCACGTGAGCGAGTCTCGATGCTAGAACGATCGTCGCGTCCTTGACGAGCTGGGTGCTAGCGGAAGGACCATTCGAGGATGGGAACAGCAAAGACGGCACGCTCAGGATCACCCCTGTCGTGACGTTCGTCTGGAAGGAGTCCCGCGCTTCCGACCGGTTCAGCCCATCCTGAAGAATCTGCCGAGACAACAACGTGTCCGACACCCAATGCAATTGCGTTCTCGCGATCGATGGATCGGATAGTGGGGATGAGCGAAGTGCAAGGTCGCGACGTGCCCGCGCATCAACATCAACGAATCAACGTGTTAATTCATGAGATTTTCAGACCCCGACTCTGCCGATCCCCGCAATACCGTCCAAATACCTTTCTGCAATGTTTTACTACAGGTACGGTTTTCAGAATTGTTCCGAAGGTCGCTTGAAGTTCGACATAGGGTACTGGAGCCAGTTACTGTGGAATAGCCAATTACTTTAGTCTATTTATAAGTACAATTAACTTTATATTTATCGAATATGTCACGTTAAATTTTTACCATCCAAATTCAATTATTTATTTGTTAAAATTAAACATGTAAAAAGCAGAAGTAAAAAACAGAGTAGCTTAACAGAGGTAGATTCTTTAGAATGCAAGGTGCGATAGGGGATTTAGTCTATTTTCTGGTCAATTATTTTGTCCGATACTATTGGGTTGGCAACTAAGTAATTGCCGATTTGTTTAATGAAATAAAAAATTTTTTTTTACTTGGAATGAAGTTTAATCTGTAATGTATTTTCCATTTTGTTCGATGACCTTTTGCCATCTCTCTGATAACTTGAAAATTCCACGCTCGTAGAAAGTCTGATCCTTTTCGACCAAAGACTGAGTTAAGTGAGATTTTACAGCATCATCATCATTAAAAGTTTTATCACGAAGGGAGTTGTCCAGGGATCGAAATAAGTGGTAATCCGATGGCGC